CGCATTATTTATTACGACTAAGTTTCATTACAGAGTTTTAATTTCTGTCACGAACAGTATCCATAACGAAAACTGATACGAAAGGATTTTGTAATTGTCAGAAAACTTTTGTACCGCAGCATTTTTTACGACAATGAATTGTTACGAAAAAAATTCTACTTTTTGTTGCGTACAAAAAATCATAACAAAAAGTCTTTCCACAGTCGTTGACCAGTACTATTTTGTAACAACATTTGTGGTGATAGAGACTTTTGTTTACTCGAGTATTACATACCGATATTCCGCAACAAAATTGTCAAAAAAAATATTTTTCCAAAAAAAATAAGCATTTGTAGCATATTCAATTCCACTAGAAATAGACATTTTTTGTAGTGGTGTATGCTCCAAAGCTAAGAATTGATATAGCCAATGACATGTTCAAATGCTTGAAGGCTTGGGGAATCGAAGATAAAGTCTTCTCAGTATCAGTTGACAATGTTTTATATAATGACTTGTGCTTAAGGTATGTAAAAGATTGCATATCACGTAGCACCAAGCTTGCCCTTGATGGAGCTCTATTCAAGTTAGATGTTGCTCACATAATGAATATTTTGGAGCAAGATAGAATTAGTCAAATCAAAGATATCATTCACAATGTTTGTGAAAATGTGAAGTATGTAAACTTCAATGATTTAATATTGAAGACTTTTGGTGAAATTATTGAACAAAAACATCTAAAAGAAATAAAATTGATATTTGATTGTCCAACAATGTGGAATTCTACATATCACATGCTAGCTGCTGGTTTGAAATTCAAGATTTCCTTCTCAGAATACCAAGAAAGAAAACCCCAATATACATTTACACCTTCAAATGAAGATTGAGAGAAGAAAGTCTGTAGACTTTTAGGAGTGTTCAAACTAGCTACCAATGTAATATCTCGAAGTGAATATCCTACTGGAAACTTGTATCTTTCAAAGGTTTGGAAGGTTAAGCAAGTAATTGATGATGCGGCAAAGAATGAGGATCTTTTTATGATACAAATGACAACTCAAATGAAAGAAAAATTTGATAAATAAGGTGAGTGCCATAGGTTAAATTTTATGGTGTTGAAATATGTTTTCCAATGATATACAAGATTGGAGAAGTTGTTGCCGAATATGTGAAAAAAGTGTGTGCTTTACTACCATCAACTATATAATGATTATGTGGCCTTAAGTGTTGAAAAGTCTGTGACACCCCGGCCCACAAGCCACAGAAGACCGGGTGTGTCGGGATGAGACTGGCCCCACAGGTCAACATGAGTCCTTCCAGCGCGAGACTTCCCAAGAGGTCACACATCCTCAAATTACTCTAGAGTAAACACGCTTAAGTCTGGGGGGTATCAAATCCTCCCCCACTTTAGAATCCAACTTTCACGTTGGATCCCAAGGATAGTCGACTGCTAGGCCCCTCAATAGTCAGGTCAACGACTGTGGGTTGATACAAACTGTGACACCCCGGTCTGCAAACCATACAAAACTGGGCGTGTTGGGATTAGACTGACCCCACAGGTCAACATGAGTCCCTTCGGCACGTTTTTGTCCTTACTCACGCGCATCCTGAGAGACTTCCCAGGAAGTCACCCATCCTCAAATTACTCTAGAGCAAGCATGCTTAACTTTAGAGTTCTTTAAGTAAGGCTCCCGAAAAGAAATATGCACATTGTTGACATGAGTAGTTTATTCAATCCATTTAATCTTTGTCCAACTTTGAATGGCCTAATATTGACTCATGCACACACGGGAGTTGGCCAAACAACGGCCCAACTCCAGAGGGTATCAAAAAGTCATCCTCAAATGAATGCAATATGGCTAGCAACATTTCCTCTGCCACCACCCAATCTAAATTTGCAATAGATACTGATTTTGACTAAATTATGAGCCTTATAAGAGAAAAAGAAGCAATCCCTGTATCAAAATCGGAATTAGATGCATATCTTGAGGACAATGTTTATATTCTTAATGAAAATATTTCTTCATTTTGTGTCTTGAAGTGGTGGAGGAACAACAACATAAAATATAAAGTTTTATAAAATATGGTTGTTGATGTACTTAGAATTCCAATATCAACGATAGTTTCAGAGTCTACATTTAGTACTTAAGGTAGAATTATAGATGAATGTCGTTCAAGGTTGAATGAAAAATCTATTGGTGCACTAATTTGTGGAGGAGATTGGCTTCGGCATAAATAAACTTGAAAAGAAAACAAAGGTTGATTTTAATATTAAATGTTTTTTCTTTATATTATTTATGTGTTTTTCTAATTAAATTACTTATGTCATTTGAAGGTGGATGGGTCTGTTAAGGAGATAAACTTATAGATTTAAAGATGTTCTTTAATACCTTGATTGCAATACGTTTTAAATTTATAATATTTTTTTGAAAACTTTATATAAATTTATTATTTGAAAACTCTAAGTTTTTAGTAAGATATTGTTATTGCACGATGTATTTTTGGAAAATTTTAAATTTGCTTTCTCAGTTCCTCAAAGTGTTTATAAGTTGCTCCATAAAATTGAAAAGGTCTCATATATCTTTGTCTATAGTTTTTAGATAGACTATGTATCTAATTGTATACAATTTTACACATCACATCGCAATTTGTGAATTCTTTCTATGGATTTTTTTCCTTTCATGAAACTTTTCCTATAATGAGCCTGGACTTTAAAATATTTAGATAGAATTGGAGGTGGTTGTTTTTATATTACAGGTTTGGTATCAGTCAACTATCTTAAAAAATCCACGTGCACAGGAAGGATTTAGGTGCAGCTTATATGCAGAAATATTTGGATATGCATCATGTTTACGCCATTGCTAATACGGCATACAACAAAATGATGACAGGTGTTTAACAATATTTAAAAGTATTTTATAATTACTTATTATCATTGATATGTCATTTCTATTGAAATGTTGATCTCATTTTTCTCTTGCTTAATAGCCTGCATCTTTTGTGAGTGTTGTAGATAATATAAATCGGTCGATCATTATAAAGTTTGTTCATTGTTTACTTTTCCCTTTCTACTAGACAAAATTCATAGTTTTTTCTTTATTTTTATGATTTATACTGGATTAACTTCACGGCTTTGGCTATGAATTATTCATAAAGAGTGAATAAATTTGAGATATAATGCTAATTTGATGATCTTTTGTACTTGAATAACTTTAGTGGTTTCAGAAACCTTGCACGAAATTGTAATTCTTGTGTATGATATGAACCTGAAAAGCTATATTGTTAATTTCTAAACATTTTGTAGAATTTTTCAATATTGTTTTTTAGTTAACTGTTGTGTGTCTTCTTTGTGAAGATAATCAACTCAATAACAATCAGACTTATGTAAACATTTTTTTAAAAATTATTATGAAGTGATTTCTATCGGGTTTCATTTGCAAACTTGTAATTCTCAATTATTGTTTCTTTTATTTTTTTTATGAAATGTAATATTTGTTTTTTTTTCTTCAAAATATTAGTATTATACATTGTTTTTTTATAGAGAAAATTAAAATTATTATTTTTGCCCGATGACAAAAGAGAATTTTAATTTTCTTTTTTATATTTAACAAATAATTGTATCTATTTTATTTTTTATTTATAGTACTAAATTTGTAAAAAAAAAAAAGAATATTATGCAATATTTTAAATATACTTGTAAACTAAGCCACGCTCTTTTAAAAAAGACGAGGTTTAGACTTTTAAAATACTTTTTCAGTCTAAGTCAGCATCAAGCTATGTATTTTTATAATAGGTCAGAAAGTTTGCACTGATGTGATCTATTTCCATCTTTAACTATATATCATTCACACGTATATACATATCATTCACACGTATATACATATAACTATATATGCTATACATATATATAATCTCTATTATTGATCTATTTGTTTTATTTATACATATTATATTATTATATCTTATTTTATTGTATTATATATATATATTTTTTTGTCCGTCTTTAAGGGTCATATTTATATTTTGTGTTATTATACTTATCATTAAAAATATTCTTATATTTGTATAATTTTTTATACAAATATTCTTCTATTAGTATTATAAAACACTAATGAAAGTGTTTTTGCAATTTTTTTTTAATTTGTACTACGTTTTGATAGAATAATTAATATTTAAATATCAATACGTAAAAAAGTAAACGGGACCGTCAGAGTGGGACGGAGATAGTATTATATAATAAAAGTGAAATTTATGTTATTTAACATTTATTTGGAATGCATTGACTTATGCAAAAATTGGAGGAGGGTCTCGGATTCACCCCAAATCTCCTCATTTTTTCAGTTATGCACAGTTACCTTTGTGGTATTTTATAATGTTTGTATTTTTTAGTGTATTGTGTAATTTTATTTTTTTAGAATATGATATATAATTTTATATTTTAAAAAGTGATATATAATTTTATTTTTTTGAAAAATAATGTATAATTTATTTTTTAAAAGTGATATATAATTTTCTTTTTTTTTGGAGAGTGATATAATTTTATTTTTTTACTATAATGTACTCCCTCCGTCCTCCATATCATGTCATACTTTTTATTTTGGTCGGTCTCACATGTTATGTCACTTTTTTTTTTAGAAAAATATTTTACATTTTAATCATATTTTAAATGTTATAATTTATAATTTTATAATTTTTTATTAAATTAATTAACTATCTTCATCTTATATATAATTATTTGTATTATAGTATAATTAATTTTAGTAATATATTTTTAATTATTTACTAATCATATAGTATAATTTTTTTTAAAACTAATTATATAATTTTACTTTATGGAAAATGATATATAATTTTATTTTTAAAAAAATAAATAATGTGTAATTTTATTTTTTTAAAATAATATATAATTTTATTTCTTTACAATATAAATTATTTATGTATGGATTATAATGTAAAAATAAATTAAAATTGAAGTGTAATTTATAAATATAAAAAATTATAAAATAATATAAAAGAAAAATTAAATATATATAAAAATATATTTTTTTAGAATAAAAATTAAAGTTTATCTGGACGCTCAATAATGATTTTTCTTTCGAACTCCCGCAATGGAGATGGCCTAAAGTAACCTTAATCTTTTACATAAACAATTTGGTTACACAATTAATCAAGGGGAAATATAATTACGTGTACAACTTGATTATACCATCAAATATAACAGACAGTCCATGCAACATCAGAAGACCGCTTAACATAATTCATTAGTGCCCCCCACCCCCAAATCCTCCTCCACCACCGTATCCGCCGCCGCCGCCGAAACCTCCACCACCACCAAATCCACCACCCCCTCCCCCTCCTAGTCCTCCTCCGCCTCCATAACCACCACCCCCTCCATAGCCTCCACCAAGACCACCCCCTAATCCCCCACCTCCACCCCCACCATAACCTCCTCCACCCCCTAATCCTCCACCACCACCTAGACCCCCCCCTGCCCCTCCACCATACCCACCACCAAGCCCGCCACCATGACCAATCCCCCCACCAAGACCACCACCGTGGCCCAACCCACCCCCACCTCCTAACCCACCACCGCCACCCAGACCTCCTCCACCTCCTAACCCACCACCACCACCTAGACCACCTCCACCACCAAGACCGCCGCCACTGCCAAGACCGCCACCTCCGCCAAGACCACCACCACCACCAAGACCGCCGCCGCCACCAAGACCGCCGCCGCCGCCGCCACCAAACCTACGCTTAAACCCTCTCTTATAAATAACGCCATGTCCTAAACCAATGCCTCTTCCAGGAAACGGCTTGTGCAGCAGAGGCCTGTGCAAGAATTTCTCGTCGCTGTTCTCACCAACAGCTCCACTGACTCCATCACCGAATGCCACGTGTCCATGAACAAGCAGAACAAGCACCCATAAAAACCCAATAGCAGTAGCACAACAGGGAAACACACCCATTATTAATATACAATTACTTTTTGCCGTGTAAGAAACCCTAATTAAGCATGCAAGAACAACACATCATCCATGGCTCTATTTATACTCAAAATTACTCCTGCAATAATACATAAATAAATAAATAAAATAAAATGAATGGAAAGCACATGGTAGGCCCAGCTAATGTCCAACTGTGTTCATAAATGTAGGTTGTTCCGAGATGAATTAATTCTCCTCAACTGTCTCCTACTCCACTCCATCAACTCTACTCATCATTATTATTACAACTCACATTAGCCCATAAATGTTTCTTTCATTCTTAATTCAAGTAATGTAATCTAATGTTGCTCCACTGACTGGGTCTTACATAACTATGTTTTTGTTTGAATTCAACTTTACTTTTCAATCGAACCTCAATGGATAAATTTCAGTTGAATTTGTTTGAAATATCTTATTGCAAAAAATCCACCGGTGTTTCGTGAAATTGCACCAAATTTCCTATACTTCTAAAATTACGTCAAATTTTTTCGTTGTTTCATAAATTTTGCATCTAACCCTTCAACGGTCCTTATTTAACGGTATTTGACCTAAATGCGCTCAATCTGCGAATAAATTTTAGAATATCAATTTCTAAACTCCTAAAATTACAAATATATTTATTTTTTATATATTTAGTCTAAAAAAATAGTAAAAATAAACTTTTAAAATCTGAAAAAAAAATAACTATTTTTTAGTATATTTACAATTTTTTTAGGGTAAATATAAAAATAAATAAATATATTTGTAATTTTAGGGGTTTATAAATTGAGACTCTAAAATTTATTCGCAGTTTGAACGCATTTAGGTCAAATGTCGTTAAATAAGGACCACTAAGGGGGTTAGACGCAAAGTTTATGAAACCACAAGGGAATTTGACGCAGTTTTAGAAGTACGAAAGATTTAGTACAATTTTATGAAACCACTGGTGGATCTTGTGCAATTTAGCCTATTTTTTTTTTAAATTACAATATATTAAAGATAATAAAAATATAAATTTGTCACACATTGTCCTTAGGGAGCTTTGTAATTGAGCCGACCTCAGATATTTTTCAAATGTCTTTTTGTGACACTTTATTGTATTTCATGAGCCAATTCTTGCCGTATGGATAGAGCTAGTTGAAGTACAGTCGAATAGCTCAATAGCACAACTCTACCTTTCATCGAATATTGTCCATGTTTATAGTATATACAATACTATGTGAGCCTTTTTTTTCTTTTTTTTTTTTAACTAAAAAAAAAACCAATAGACTTATTTTAGAGGTGAAAAAAACAATAGAAGTAATTTTATATGTAATGATATATTTGCAATTTAAGTAAAAGTTAAATGATATTTTAGTATTACTTTATGATTAGTTTTTCTAATACGAGAGTGATACTTTGAAATAGGATGAACGAAAATGATAAAAATGGATATGTTGAATTGAGATTGAGGAAATATTATGTGTTTTATTAAAAAATCACATCTATAACTATTTAAACTAAACTTCAAATTAAAGTGTGTTTGTCTGTGGGTTTGATTAAAATGTATATAATGTTCAAGCTAATTAAAATCAAATAATAATTAATGAGCACAAAACAAATTATTTAGGATGGCCTTATCCAAAGAGGAAAAATTACTTTAGGTGTCATTGAGAGTATCCAAACGTACATTTTTAAGCCTCACTATCTTTGACTAATTAAAATACCTATACACACCACCTACATATTGAACATGTTTTTTTTTTTTTTTTTTTTTTTTAATAACGTGGAAATCTGGAGCCGCTACTCGTCGAGTGCGTTTTGGATAAGTTCTCGGTCGAACCTAATAGCTTACAAATTAGGTCCGACAAGGTAAGTCATACTAAGCTAAAACCAAAAAGTATCATTGGTTTAAACACATGACTTCACGGTCACGACCCCACCCTCACACCACCATAACATGGGTGTGTGTTTCAAGTATTTCATATGTAAAATTATGGATTTCTTACCCCCCTCCACTCTCCTATTTGATTTTCTAGTCTTTTTTTTTCCCTTTAATAATTGTTGATGCTCTTAGCTATGTTTTTACGTATTTCAAATATTGTTGTTGACATTGATTTCATTTTAGATAGATTTTTATTGCAATATTGTTTCATGAGTTTTGTATATAAAATACATCTTTAATGTTCACTTCAATACTTCATACAGCAGAATTGCTGATGTAGTATACTAATTTGAGTTTGAATTTTTACGGATCTAGATGAAATTTTTTCAAAAAATTGCTTAAATTTGAGAATTTCAAGATTGTAAAATTTGTTTACTATGAAATTTATGCGAAAAGTGCAAACACTAAAATTATTTGATAAATTCAAAAATAAAGGTGGTGCTTGTTACAAATTTCTTTTTAGAATTTTTATTATTTACTAATTCCCTCCTTCCGAAATCTCAAATCAAATATATTTTTTTATATTCTTTATTGTATCAAAAACTTATTTTATATTCAAAATAGCACACTAACATACTACTAAAAAAACCCTCATTTATAGCGGATATTGCATCTGTAATAATTAGTTCGGAGCAATTGATAATTTTTGTAATAAAAAACAGTGACAAAAAGTTTTAGTTTGGTCAATATTTTTTATTTTGTTTCAGCAATTTGTCCGGAACAAATACAAATATAATAGTATGTTGTCCTAAATATATTAATTTTTCATGTTGGCCCGAAACAAAAATAAATAAATAAATCACTAAGAGAAACTAATATAAAAAAATTATTTATACTAAAAAATAAGTCCAAATTAAAAAAAATAAAATAATACTTCTCCCGTCGCACTTAATTTGTCCACTCTTTCTATTTTCGTCTGTCCCAAATAATTTGTTTTTTCATTTTTTGTAAATATAATTATACACTTTAATTATATTTTAAAATTCCTAATTTATAATTTATTTTATTTTAATTAAACTATTTAGTAATCTTAACCTATAATTATTTTTATTAAATTATAATTATTTTTACTAATATTATTCTTAATTACTTACTAATTGCACAATAAGTTAAAACCTCATGTCTAAGCTAAACTGGACAAATTAAATGGGACGGAGGAAATATATATCACTAAATATATATTGGGCAAGGATAAAAATAAACTAGTTTCATTGCAGTTGATTCACCACCCCTGAGTGCCGTTCCGAATATTTCCGAAAACAACAACTATAATGTATTTTTGTTTATTTCTGTATATTTTGGATGTTGGATAATATAGAATTTTAATATTTTGGATGTTAGGTATTTCTAATATGTCTAAACATAGTTGTTGAGGCAAAATATTGTATTTATATTTTTGGCGTGTTAGAGAACGTCGGATCGACTTCATTTTATATATTTCGATATGATTTTGTATTTAGTATAAAAAATGGTTTTATGCTATTTGTGACAAAAATAATTTTGTAACAAATACCATTATTTTGTTAATTTTTTTCGGGTTGTACAAAGAGTTTTGTTACGATCAGTAAGAAATAATAATATTTTTGTTGTTACGGGGGAAATTTTCGTAACAAATATTTTTTTCCAACGGGATTGAAGTATTTGTAACGTTCCTTTTGTTACGGAAATCTTTGTAACAAAAGGTTATTATCACGATGAAGAACAATAAAATCGGTTTTTTTTTACGGATAATTTTGTTACAAAAAAATATTGAACCGGTACAAATAAATTTAGCACGTACGTAATAGTGGCATTGACCATCAACCTTTTGTAACAGAATATGTCATTACAGAAGCTTTTTGTTACTCGATTTTGTTATAACGGGCAAAATCCATTACAAAGTCGACACAAAAGACTTATTGTGTTGAAAATAAAGTATTTATATAGGCTTTTTCACCGTTACAAAAGGTCAAAGTTCTGGTAAGACACATATCTATATCATATCAAGTAACTATTTAAAATTTAAATTTTTATTATTTAAAAAATAATTCCAAACCTCACCCATGACAAACACACCCTAACAACGTGGAACTTTTAAGTATTCATATGATAGTTTTTACCAAGTTATCTCACAATTTTGAGCCATTTCCATGTTTAAATGTGGTCAAATGCTTAATAATAACATCAATTACTTTATTGTTATGATTTAATGTACCTTGTATTTTTTAGTATTTTCAATCAGAAAATAGGTGTAAATCTAAGTGACTGGTCGCATAGTCAATTAAATATTACTCATTATCTACCATCACAAAATTTATTTAATACAATGAAATGATCGTCTCTATAGAATTTGTGTGATTAAAATTTGATCATGTCTAGTGGGTCAAAGTATAGAAGAGGAATTTTGAATTAAATTAACTACAATTGTGGAAAAAAAAAATAGTTAAGAGATCTAAATGCAATTGACAAAGGAGGAAATTACATAATTAAAAAAAAGCAGTCCAAATAATGATTTCGGAGTGAGATTTTCATTGGATTATGAATTTAACTAAAAATAATTCTTATATCATTGATAAACTAGTTATAGATAACAACAACTCTCGAATCCAATTTTTTTCTTGTTGTGTATACAGTCAAATACAACCGTTAATTGTTATTACTCAAGCTAACAACCCTATGCATGACCGTAAGAATTAATTTATCTCATTGCATTATAATTTTAAAAAATCTAGTTCAAATTGCTACTACCTATGAGGAGGAATAAAAATTTGATTGTATAATTCTCACGTGAAGTAACTATTCAAGCTTAGTATTACCTATCGAAATAACGGTTTAATCCAAGATACTCTAATTGAATCGACATTTTCCTAATGAATTAAATAAAATATAAGCTTCAAATACTTATCCAAATCAATATCAATAACGACAAATTCAGGAATCATGTAAATAGCAATAATTAATAAGAATTTAATGAATATTAAAAATTTGATATAAAGTGAATTTCAACTCTAATCAATTTTTGAACTAGAAAAATAAATCTACTCAGTATTCATAAAATTAAAAACAAATACAAACAAACATATAAAAAATAAGAGAAGTCAATTGCAATCATTTGTTTCATGTCGAATGGCTCTGCACTGTGGAGATGGCTCTTGAAGTGCACTTCTTTTCAC